CTCAGGGCATTTTTACAGTATATAAGACTGGTAGCAGGATTATTTCTCCCCTCAAGTTTTCACCTCTGTTCAATAATGGCTATGGGTTTCAAAAGGACAAAATCTTAAAAATGAAAACAGATCTGAAAATATGATTTTCAAATGACTGTCCTAAATGGGGGCAGGGAAGACAACTACTGAAATAACTGTTATTCAGTAGAAAACTACTGAATAACATTGCTGGTCTACTTTAAGACCTAACTCACGAGGGATCTCAAAGTAGTATAATACCCAAAGGGTTATCCTGTAAATCCAGAAAAACAGAACATAAAATCTACAGATGTAAAAGCATCAAATAACTGGGATAAACACAAAATCTTCTCAAGCAGAAGCCCCTCCCGCCTTTCTGCTTTACTGCTCACCTGTGTATACATTTATTTTTAAAGTTTAAACATAAGCAAAGTTTTAATAACTAAAATGTATTGGTCTTTGAGCTAGTTTCTAAATTATAAATTTATATAAATAGACTTTCATGAAATCCTAATCACTCAAGAGTGCTATAAATAAGAACACTGGATTCATTTTTAACATAAATTGGTTACTAAATTTATCTCTGAACAGTTCATATTATAGATGGCTTCAAACTGTTGGATCAGCACCATAATATTGCATAAGAGGTTTGACCATGCTAATATTTACTCAAGCCAAAAATCCCTCTTTCCTAAAATAGTCTTTCCTAAAATAGATGCAAATCACATATATTTAGAACCAGGTTTAAACAAATAAATATATATGCATGCCTATATATATATATATACACCAGACACAGGCACACATGTATAATCTCACAAATACACAAAGTTTTAAGAATAGCTTAGTTAAATAAACTAAACATATATTTCTTGGCTTTAAGACACTTAAAAAAAAAAAGCTTATACTTTGATTGAAGAGAACTATCTCAACAGAATTAATGCACTTGTCTTAATCATGAACTCTTCGCGCACAGTGCACCCAAAGGCTACAAACACCTTCAATGGGGCACCTAGAAAGAAATTCAACTAGTACATTTAAGACACTGCATAAAAGAGTTTTACTTATTTTCCAAAGAAGAAAAAAGAAGAGACAGCATCAGTAAAAGAGAGAGAGGGCAAGAGGAATAGGATGAGGAGGAGGAGGAGGAGGAAAGGGAAAGGAGGAGGGAGATGAGGAGGGAGAGGAAGAGGAGCAGCTGGAAAAGGAGGAAAAGGGAGAGCAGGAGGTGGAAGAGGAGGAAGAACAGGAGGAGGAGGAACTGGAGGAGGAGGAGGGAGAGGAAGAGGAGAAGGAAGAAGAGGAGGAGGAGGAGGGCCAGTCAGAGAGGGCAGGAAGGACAGAAGGGGAAATTAAGAATAGGAAAGGTCCTAGTCAGACAGAAAAATGTCCTGCAGCTACATTTCTACATCTGTCTTCCTGCACTGTTACTTCTTTCCTGAAATCTGCTCTCCACTCCATTAACCCATTTACACACATGAACACACACACACACACACACACACACACACACACACACACACAATGTTAAAGTATAACAAAGCTGGAAATGCTGGTTCACCCACACAAAGCTATATAACTGCATTACATCTGATAAATAATACTGTTCAGAAAATTGTCTCTGATTTAAGAGGAAAGGGGCTTTGATCTTGAACATCTGGTTATTTGCTGGGGATAGAGACTACCCAGGAGGGGTCAACACCAAAAACTCTATAAATAAGATTTAAGTAAAAATCTAGTGAGGAATTTTCCATAGTCCCACCGATGAACAACTTATTAACTATGAAGACTCACAGACTCTGCAGGGTTCGAGCAAAGGGAGTTAGGAGAGTGAAAAACAAACCATTGACAGCTCATGAGTAACAAACAGGCAATGCTTTTTCAGATGCAGGCTAGAAGACTTCACACTACTGTCCTACCTCTGGAGAATGGTGTTCTATCCTTCACTGACAAACTTGATTACTGCAACTTCTGTTCATTCACTACTGACAGTACACTACGTTAACTAAAAGTCATATTTTTCTATGAAGAAAGAGCATCTTGGCACAGTACCCATCTTCTAATTTAAGGCATGAGTTTGAGGGGTCAAAAAATCTGAATGATCTTAAGGACTGATCCTAAAAACTAGGTTACTAAATGTCCATGATTGTATTTCTCATTATGCTTTTTGCCTCTAAGGAGGAAGAGGAACAAATACATCAAAAAGTGGAGGAGGAGAATGAGTAGAAGGATCACAAAAGAGACCCCCAAACATATTTAAACTGCTTAATTCTCCCCTAATTTTGCATATGTTAACTATGTAAAAGAAATCCAGATTGTTTAATGGACAGAAGGAGGAACCACCCAGCTAAAAGCAAGGAGAAGAGAAAGATTATGAACTTGGTGAGCATCAGAGGCCTCTTCATAGACAGCTAACTGACTGTCCTGTTTTGGAATCTGAGGTTCTACATACTTAACTGAAAAGGTGAAAATTATACAGCTTAAAGCTAAAGAGCTAAAATTGATACCTGTTCAACCCAACTCTATAGCCCATGTGTTACAGTTTATGTAATTAAGAAGCAGTCAGTCAGAACTAAATATTATCAACATTTCCCTGGCTTCTTACAACATGGAATTAAGTCATGTCTTTAAAACTTAGTTTCTTGGCACCCCCAGCCACAGCAGACAGTAGCAGGGATATCAGAGTATAAGGGCTCTAGTGGGGAGAGGGAGGCTATGGGAGGGTGCCATCTGGGAAGTGGGTATATTGCTGAATAAGATGGTTTGGGATATTCTGTGATATATATATATATATACATTATACATATATATATACATATATATACAAAAAAATCAACAAATTTTTTTAAAATTATTATATTTGAGGAGGAATCATGGAAATCTACGTCATGTTAATTAGTAGAGGTGATAAATATTACCATTGAAATCTACCCGATGACTTTATAGACATACACAGGCACCAAGGATCCAAGTACAAGCAATTATGACTAGTAATAATCAGATACATACAATTAGAGATGTATGAGCCAATATCTCAGTGTTAGTAGCAAAAACAATGAGTCTTTCTGCAAGGAACAATATATTCTAAAATGAAATGGAGATCTTTTTTAAAGGTTAAAAACTCATTCAATTTTATGTCTTACAGGGCTTATACTGACTTCAATACTGTATAACTGTATTAATTCACCTGTGAACCTAGAAACTTATAGCCACTTGTGAAAGAGATGTACTCTTGCTCTGGAGCGTGTTACTGAATATGTTAAAGCTGTAATGAAATGCTTCTTCTAATCATGTAGTTACGAAAAATTTTTAAAAATACATCAAGGTAATATAAAAAAAACTTAGTTTCTCCCTCTGAAAAATGGAATTAATCACTACATTGCCTAATTTATGCAATATTATCAGGTTACTTATTGTGACCACAAGCCTAAAATAAAGTGTTTTGGTTTCTTTTTCTATTCTGTGCTTTGCTGAACTGGGAGTAGAGGTGGAGAACACAGTAGCATTTATAAGTCAACTTGTGCTTCTGTTATTTTTAAAATAGAAGCTTTCTTGTCCAGAAAATACAATAACTTCTTTCAGCCTGGTTTCATCTCCAAACTAAAACATTTATTATAGAGAGGCAAGACATTCTGTAGTGAGAAAGGGTCTCTTCTGATACTAACCAGATGGATCAGAAATAATTCCTAATTCTTATTTGCAGTTGCAATTATCAGTTAATCATGGTTTATTTCTTCATAAGCAGCTAAATACACTCAGATGTCTCATACTCACTGGTCCCTGAACAAGAAGTCTTAAGAGAAGCAAGGGTGGGTCTGTTGGAAGAGCAGTACACATAGACTAGTTTACTAATGACCCTGACCATATCTATTTAAAAGTGATCATATGCACCACTTAGCCTGGTACAGACTTACTTTATGCAATTATTACCAGAGTCCTTGTAACCATCAAAGATGTTTCTGGGTACATGAAAATTCAGATTGTTACCCTACCATTACAAATGACCTATCATTTTCTTCAGTATCTTCAGTACTATAAGTCAAAACAATGACCAACAATGACCAATAAGTCAAACAATACCAGTAAGGTACAGAAGAAGGTAAACAACAACAACAACAACAAAATCAATGTAAACTGAAATTCTTTGTACATAGTATTGCAAATATGTAACACAAAATCAAGTATTTGTTAATCATAAATTCGTCTTCTCACAAACCAAGCACTACTGTTAACTTCAGTCATTTCAGCATTTAAAAAAATACTAAGAGGCAAATGGATTAGTTATGCACGTTGGCATACAAGGAAGAAGAATGAGGATAATGCCAGCTCCAGGCCCCTCACAGGAACGTACTCTTCACTACAGCTCAGGTTTGACTCCAGACCAGTTCTCCAAAGCTGCAACCCAGGTACAGACACCTTTAGCAAACTGAGAAATGCTCCTGACAATCCATTTAATCAGAACTTCAGAATGTGGCCTTATAGGAGGTGTTAGTGGATACAATTAGTTAAGGTCATACTGGATAAGATTGGGTCCTCAAGCCAATCAGTAGATTCCTCATAAAGGGTAGAAGGTCAGATTACAATGAAGAAGAGGCTGAGGTGAGCAGCTTGGAACACTCCTGCTCAACAAGAAGCATTTACGAAAGCACCTCGATCTTGTACTTCTAAACCTCTATGACTGGAATAAGCTAGTGTCTGTCAGGCCACCAGGCTTGAAGCAACTTGCTTCATCAGAGCTAGAAAAGTAATTCACATTTTATGTCAAATTATCCAACACCATCTCTCAAGACTTCACCAGGAATACAAGCAATCAAGAGGTAATAAACAGTAGTTCATGACAAACAATGCCTCAGCTCTACTGCATTCCAAATACGGAGAGGTCTGCTGCCTATCCAGAAAGCCTGCACTGAACCAGTAGACACAAACAAGGGCTTTTGATTCAGAGCTGAGCCTCTTCCTCTGTGGGATGAGGGACTTTAACTAAGGTGTACCTCATCCTTCTTCTCCTGAATGCGTCGTCTTTCTGCCTCAATAGCCAGCTTCTCCTGAATTTCCTGAGCAATTTCACAATCTTGTTGTTCACTAAAAAACAAAAATAAAAATGATTTTAAGTAAAGAACATACGAGATAATTTTTCTTAGAATAAACAATTTATTGAATACTCGGGATAATCTGTTATATATTTTATCTTACTTAATCTTCATGACAGTGACACAAAGGGGCTGATGCTATGTAACATCCCAGAGAAGACTGAGACCTAGGGAAGTTACTATGTCTCCCTGGGATCACAAAACAACAGCATGGCAACACTGGCATTTCGTTCAGACACTGCAAAGAAAGTTCCAGCTTCTTCTACTCTACTGTACCACTTCACCCAACTGGGTCACTCTACAGGAAGATACATATTTTCCCAGAATTCTGCAGGAGCTAAGTAGCCCAGGAGATAATGCCCAGCAATGTGAACTATGGAGGACACAGAAAAAAATTGTAAGTAAGCTCAAGTAAACCTCAACAACCTTGCGGTCACAGAGAGATAACAGTATGATTTTGAAATTATTCTTACAAATGAAAGATTATCTGTATTATTTTTAAGTTTAAAAATGAACACTAAAAGTTGTGCAAAATAAAAAAGGACAAAAGAGTTCATGTTTTTTAGCTTCCATTCCTAACAGAAGCTTCTTCAAGGAATGGCCGTTTTCTCAACACCTGGGACAATAAGAAAACGGGGTTGCTACCATAGTCATAGGTTTTGGTTTTCTGCTTATTTGTATCATTTTGGCATCAATGCATTCAACAAGGATTTAACCAACACCTATGACAGACCAGATACAGTGCTCAACGCAAAGGAAACGGAAGAGAACAGCTTTCAACACCTTCAGGTGCTCAAAACCAGGGAAATCATTTTCATAAGCAAAAGAACCCTTAAAATAGGACCTTTAAATCAGCAGTTTCCACAGAAGTTAGATTCTCCCAGAATTCACTGCAAAATTAGCCTCCCAAAAATCACTACAAAGTTAGATTCTCTGAGAAATCACTGCAAAATCTGGCACTCAGTACAGGAGTCTTTTGGTTTCAGGTATTAAGAAATATCAGTTTATATACAGTCCTAGATGTGGTAACTCTGGGAAGTTATCTCTTGTACAAATCTGACTTCTAGGAAAGATGAACAAAAACATGTTTAGAACTGAGTACCTAAAAAGGTGCTGGAACAAAACTCTAATTATAATCTATATATGCAGTTCACCTGCTAAATATCACCTCATTTTCCCTCCACCAACCAAACTCCAGATATTCCATGACTTTTAGACATGATTGTATAGTCCATGCCTCAATGTCAGTCTTTTATTTTTTGTGTATGAGCGACTGCCTGCATGTATGTATATGGACCACATGCCAGAGCAAAAGTGATGAAATCCTAAAGGAGTCCATTAGAGCACAAAAAGATGTTGATGTCTATTATTTCACTACATCCCTCCAAACAAATTTATCGCCAGAAGATGATATTTTTCTCCGTATTATGGTTACAACTCAGTTGAGAGAGGTCAACCAATCAGTTCAAAAGCCATCGAGCTAAAAGGGCACCAACCATGATTAACATGTCCCTCGTACAATGTTCCAATAGTAAGGAGAATTTCCAAAAAAACAAAAAACAAGAACAAAAAATTATTGGACAGTCTCCATAGGATTCGTAATCTAAGTAGAAAAGAATGAGAGGCAGGATGAGTGTCCACCCCTGCCACAGGTGCCAGCCCCACCCATTCCAGACCCCAGATCCTCACAGATCTTTGTAGCGCTTCTGGAGCTGAGCTTGGGCTTTCAGATCTTCTTCCTGGAGCTGCTTAGCCACCTGGAGATCACGTTGGACCAAACGGCTCCGCTGAATGTTTGATGCCAAATGGTGTTCAACTGGGATAGAATGATTCAAGAGAGGAGTCATTTAACACTTTGTCTAATAATAAACACAATTAATTTAAGAAGAGCTTCACCATTCAAAAGACATATATCCACTACTTCATGTTGCTTTCAACAACACTAGATAAAAGGTACCACAGGAATTGTACCATTGAATAAAAAGAAGACCAAAAAGAATAAGTAATTAGCTTTTGGTCACATGGCAGTGTAAGGACTGCTATACAAATATTTTAAGCCAGGGCCACTGTTTTTTCTATTACCCTATGTTGCCATTCTAAGGACTCACAAATCATGAACTCATATATAAATACGTAACTTGACTTTACTTTCCATCGGAACACTAAACACTCAGAAAAATCTACCATGTGGGGCTGGGACATACATTAGTTGGTAGACTGCTTGCCTAACATGCAGGAAGCCCAAGAGTCCATCCTCAGCACAGCATAAATTGGATGTGGTGAAACACATCTGGAATCCCAACTCTTAGGAGGTAGAGGCAAGAGGATCAGAATTTCAAGATCATCCTAGGCTATGTGGAGTTTCAGTTCAGCTTGAACCACATGAAATCCAGATTCAAACAAGGGAACCAATCCACAATGTCACTTAATGTAGATACTATTGTTGTCGGCCAAAAATGTGCCTGCCTCTATTCCAGCAAGAATAGACTCGTATGCAACTTCTGGCATACCCCAGGCACATTTACAACCACTGTCTCCCTCCTAAAAGAAGGGAGGAAAACAACTGTCCTTTTTCCCCTATTCAGTCAGGATTCTTCTTTTATCACTAACTGGCTAACTGTAAAACATGCAGAATTCATGGTCCCCTCCAATGAGCCAGAGATATGGTCTCCTCCCATGAGCCATGGTTTCACATTCCTCCAGTGATGGGCTGACGGTGGCGCATACTGGAGGATGGAGGCAGCAGTTTCAGCCTTCTCTGAGTGGTTGCATTCCACACAAACTCTCCACTGAGGTTCCAAATTGTGCATGACAGTGGCTTTGCCTCTCTGTTAGACTTGTGATGGGGACAGGGCAGGTTTCTGTCATTTTCTGATTATAGTCTTGGAAGAACTGATTCTTAAAAATAGACTTCCCACCCTCCTTGATGGTCAGCTAAGGTTTTGACTCCACACATGGTCCTGAGCACCTGGGCCTTGAGGTTGGACCTCTCCCATTCCCAGGCACCAAAAGGACTCCATCATTTTTCTATTGCTCTTCTATAGCCCCAGTGTACCTTCACCTGTGCCCTACAGAAAATGTAAAGCACTTAATTTGAACTTCTGGAGATTAAAAAAGAAGAACATAAGACAAGGAGTTGAGGAAGCTGGGAAGTGAAGAGTAAATATATTAACGTACATTGTATCCACGTATGAAATTCTCAAATAATAAATATACATTAAAAAACACGCAGAATTCTTTAAAGGTATCATTTGCCTAGAAACCTTCAGGATGGAAATAAAGTGTAGCTTAACAACTTTCTCTGCACTTCACACTAAAAGAAGCCAGCCTCAAGCTACCACTAAGGAAAGAAAACTGAAAGCTAAAGGAGAAACCCAGTACTCACTCTCTTGTTCCTGCAGGCTGTGAGCCAAGGTGTGGTCCTCCAGGACAGCAAAATCTCGGCACACTGCAGAGGGTGAAGGAGGAAGAGCAGAATGGAAGGCTCATTAGTGCCGTAGAACTTTACCATAAAAAGAAAAGAATTCTTCATTTTTTGTACTTGATCAAGTTTATAATTTGCAATGCTTAAGTTTATAAAATGCAATGCACTTTACTAGAGTATAGCAAAGTATGAATTCATCATTCACAAACCCATAGTACCTGATCAATGCCATGCACAGTGTGTCACAAATAATGGTTACAGTCACAGAACCAGAGGTCTAGAAATTCCCATCCACTTCTATAAGGTGCTCGTGAAATAACAGAGGAGTCCACAACACTTTGTACATTGCTGCTAAGAGAAAGCTGAGTTTTGGCAGGGTTTGAGGAGTCAAAAGAAATCTAGCCTATACCTCACTATACCTCAGCCATCTTTAGTTCAAGGGATTCTCTGTCATGTCCTATCTCATTGTATATATGCTGGAGGGGGCTCACCTTGTTAGTTCCTTAGGTAGGAGCAGGTCTCTGCTCTAAGGACAGTCAGGTTCTTTAAAAGCTGTACACCTGGTACATAAGTTAGAACTGAGTCTCTAGGTCTCCGTGGACCTAGAGCTGCTCCCCAGTACTCTGCAAACTGAAAGAAGATGGGAATCCATGAGGACAGGAATCTGCCCCTGATTAGAATCTGTCTTGAAGACCTAGGGAAGCGTATCTGCAGGTCTGCTTTCTTAGAAGAAAAATGGAAAGAGATGGTCTCCAAGGTTCTATGTACCACAAGCTACATGTTAAATGCCTGGTTCTTAAAGGAAACACAGAAGGGAAAGAAAATGTGAAAGATCCATTGTGAAAACTGTGGCTTTAGTTTAGTGATATGGGTATTTTCTCATTCTATTCCAAATATACAACTAACATTGGGAAAAAAGAAAAAAGGAACAAAGAAAAAAGGAAACCTCCCCCACACCCCAGTGTATGGGACTCAGAAAGACAAGAAACTGACTTCCAGGGTTGGTAAGACACAGCAGACTCTGCCTATAGGACTCTTACCAGGAATGGAGTAAGGACATTCCCCTGTCACCTCAGCACTTACACATGTTCACAAACACAGTACACAGGCCAACAAAAAAAAACAGCAGGCCGGTAGTGGTAGCACACACCTTTAATCCCAGCACTCAGGAGGCAGAGGCAGAGATAGGGGGATCTCTGTGAGTTCAAGGCCAGCCTGGTCTACATAGTGAGTTCCAGGACAGCTGGGGCTACAGTGAGACCCTGTCTCAAAAAGACTGAAAAAAAAAAAAAAAACAATAAACAAAAAACAGTAGAGATATGCTTGAGATTTCGAAGATGCTTTGAAAGAGTTTTATGGCAGAGGAGTCATTCCTGCCCAACCATGCTGAACTGACGATGATCTAGCTGCTCATCTCTGACTCACTGTAACACCAAACCCAGGAACTTCAGAAGAAAGCACTTCTTCATTTATATCTTCTGAAAATTTGAACAACTCTTTATTTTGTACAACGAAAGCACTTTCAGAAGGTGCTAATTAACACTCAAGGTCCAGAAAGTCCTAATTAAGAGAAGGCATGGCACACTGCTGACAAAGCTGGGAGTAAGTGCAGCAAGGGCTCTGTCTTTCCCTCACATTATGACAGCCCTCCTTGACTCCAGGTAAAGTGTGGTCAGAAAGGACAGAAGATATTCTGTACTAACCATGATGGATTCTCAACAAACTAATACAGATTTTTAAGTGGCTAATCCATGCATGGTTTTAATTTATAAGAAACAAATGTATTTTCTTTTACAAAGGAATACTATTTTAATATATTATTTTATTAAATGAAACATTTTTATAATAGTAATAAAAAGTTTGTGCTTATGTAACAGGTCAATTTTTTAGACTACTCTAAAGAGCAATATAGATACTATTTTCAAAAGGAAAAAAGCAGGCCTAGGAACAACAGCACACACTTGTAATCGGCACAACGTTCAGGATGAAAGATCAAGAGTTCCAGGTCAGCACCATACTACACAGTGAGACTCCAGGTAAAAAGAGTAATAATTCACAGGCAATAACAGAGTATATGAAACATAGTACAGGTGACTATAGTTTGGAGAAGCTTTCAGTATTACAGATACTATATACATATACATGTACCTAAATTATATGTACTGGATCCTTGGTTTTAGGAGGTGGAAAGCTTTTACAATGTGATGATAATTAAGAACTTTGGAGCAGGAAGAGCTCCTAGACAAGAGATAAGACTGGGGAGATAAGCTGGAGTCTTCCTCCATCCTGCACCCTGTGGTCAACCTGGAAGGAAGTCTTTGTAACCCCTGTGGCCATATGTTATCTTGCTTAATTATCAGAAGTACCTTTTACTTAATTGCCACCTATGTGCTGTTTTGTCTTTTACTTGTACTTCCTCACATGAGTATAAAAACCCCTAAAACTGGAGAAGGGGACTCACTCCTTTACAGAAGGATCAGTGCATCAGTCCACTAGCATAAAATGAAATACCTCTCCTCTCCTGACTTTGGCTGCTGGTCTCTGATTTTCCCATAACATTTCTAGAGGTCCCCAGTGAGAACAAGTCGCTGTACCCTCCCTGGCGATAGAGACTGCTGCTCCTGGACCCTGCCTCCCCCTCGGGCCCCTGGAACAGAGAAGTGCACAGTCCCAAAGAATTTCCTTTCAGGATCTCCTTTCAGGAGGCCAGAGAGAGCTGCAGAGCCCGAACTGGAGCCTCTCATCAGGTGAAGCAAGACGGTGACCCAGAATGGACGTCCAGACCAGGTAATGGGCCCCAGATTAGAGAGGTGTAAGCCGGTGCAGGCTGATCCCCGCAGGAGGCTGGATACGAAGTCTTGATGTGATTCCAAGATGGCACTGGCAGCCAGTCAGGAATGAAGGCGACCACAACCAAACCTTGATATGATTCTGAGGTGCTGGCCCCATTTAAGGTAAAACAGGAATCAGGCAGCAAACTGGGCAGTTTTAGGCAGAACAGGAATTTAGTGGGAATAACTAGGGAATGACTCCGAATAACTGTGCATGAATGTGAAAGTGAAACTAATGGTCCCATGGCTCTGCGAGGCCACGGAATCTGAGTGGGCCTCACCCTGTGGTTCTGCTGAGGTCGTGTAACCTAAACGGGTACTCACCTTCAGGTGACTGACATGGGGATTATACATGTGGCCCTAAGGTAGGACCTCTTAAATTATGGGGAGGAGGCCGGCCAGGAAGGCATCTGAATGAAGGAGACTAACACTCTCCACTCCCTCGTATGCACACATTACATACATTCCAGGCACATATAAAATTTCAGATGGGTTCCTCCCAGTCCAAGTATCAGACCCAGACTGTCCTCCAGGGGATACTGGACAACTTTAAACTAGGCTATGCAGGAAATTATGGCATTGAGATAAAACTCTCCAAGTTAAAACTTAATATGAAGTTGAGTGACTTAGTATGAGGTTGTGCTGGCAAGACTCCCTGAGTCCAAATGGAGTTTACCTGAACCCTTAAATTCAGCCTCATATTTACCAGAAGAGGAGAAAGAACTGCCCCACAGCTATGAGATTATGGAGAGAAGCATTCTCCTGTGATCCAGATCTTAAAAGATGAGTGCCTACAAGCAAAGGACCATCCTAATCAAACTCCTTGATTTTTATGTTTTGGGTGCACCTAGTTTTACTGGAATTATGTCATGTGTATCTGTGTTAATTGTTTTCCACGTGTTGTCTTGTATTTCATGTAATTGTGTCATGTTATGTCTCCTGTGCTGAGATCTCAAGTAATTCTGTCATGTATGTCTGTGATTATTGTCTCCACATGTTTCCATCGAAACAAACTGGCCACTTCAGTTATTATTTTCATTTATTGTGCACAAAATTATTGGTTTTATTTTGGCATGCCTAATTAAATACATGTGCAGATTTATAAATATGGATATTCTAATAGTACATTCAAAGGCCTTATAAATTTTGGTACCCCAAATATCTTTAAATTTATTGGACAATGTCTCTAGGATTATTAAGTGTGTCACAAAACTTTTAAGTGCTAGTTGTTTATACAAAACAATATCTGAAGCAGGGTGTGGTGGCACACCTTTAATCCCAGGACTTGCAAGGCAGAGGCAGACAGATCTCTTTGAGTTCAAGGCCAGCCTGGTCTGCATAGTGAGTTCCAGGCCAGCTGAGGCTACAGGGAGACCCTGTCTCAAAGGAAATAAAAAGAAAAAAGACCAGCATCTGAACCGGTTGTTTAAGGACCTTATTTGTTACATACCTTTTGGGTTGGGTTTGCTTTCACGGTGTTTAAGTATCTCTTTGGTTTGCTCATTTTTGTAAGTATTTTGGTTTTGACATTCTTGGTCAGGTTTGTGTTGATTTCAGACCTCTAAAAGGCCTGAAAATGTTTTGAAAAAAAAATGAAACTCCAGTTGGTTATAGGTTTGATTTAATATGTTAACTCTTCGGAGCTGGAGATGAATTCTGGGACTGGTCTTCCTGTCTCATCCTTTTGGCCTTGTCCTTTGTTCTGTTTCCTGCAGCATGGCTCTATATGCAGGCAGATATGGCCTGTTTGGGGGAGGGGTGCATTTCATCCCTGGAAAATGCCAGCTTAGATATGGCTCTGTACTTTTCTCTCTTGGAGTAACTCTTGCCTTTAACTCTCATGTTTAAGTCTGCATTGAACTACCTTTATACTAGCTATTGATAAAACTCCCATCAGCAATTTGAAACCAAGAATCTTAGTTTGGCTTGGATGGAGGTCTGGAAGAGCTCCCCCAGGCTCCTGGAGATGGCCATGTGGCAGTGGTGCTTTTGTTTCTCTGGCTAGAGGACGCCTGGGTTAGATGCAGTGGCACATGGCTTCTTCTGGGGTACCTTGTAAGAATTCATCCCAAAGACGGCCTGAGCCAGTCTCTTGCCTCCAGAAGAGCCTGAGACAAAATGAGACAACTACAATGTATTCAGAATGACTACTTAATACACATTATTATGTTTATCTTGTAACTTTTATTCATA